CTAGATGAGTAAAGAAGGACTAGATGGGTCAAGATTGCAAGCCTACATGGCTAAGATGAGGAAAGTGGTAGGCAAGTCAGACGAAGACGTGTCGTGCGCCGAGTACGAGCAGAGCTAGAAAGAAAGGCGTGGTACCATGCCTAATGCAAGCTCAAACGCGCGCATGAACGGCAACTTGCAGACAAACATATCCGATCCGTCACACGACAAATCACCGAGCGACAGGATCGCGTGTAAGATGGTCTCGAATGCCCCTCAACTGCCCGAGGCGTCGCAGAAGGTAAGAAGCAGCAGTCAATTGATATCTCACCCGAGAGCCTCCCTCTCAATCCTCTAGCAGGAATGTGAAGACGGAGAAGCCACCCGTGCCAGAATTCTAGATGCCAGTGCAACTGAAAACATGGCGAGACAGTGCCCGTCCCTCTATGACGCTTTGCCGTTCCTGCCGAGTCTGTGAGTCCGGCGGAAAGATCCTCATTTTTCAAGGAAGAAAGCAGTCACTTAGTGCGCGACACACAGAAATCATCATCGAGGTGGATACCGACGGCGGCCTTGAGTAGGGACCAGTTTTGGGATCTTGCTAAGGGACCTCTGCGTCTAAAATGAGGCACTCGCTCGACTTAAGTCACTGAGCAACTTGGACACAACACACCCCACGAGAAGCTGAGCGAGAGGTAGGATACGAATGAGACCACAAAACACAAGAAGCGGCCATACTGTATCAATACTCAATACTCAATAGTGCCTTTTTAGCCAAAAGCTACTTGACGCAGAAAATCTTTTTATGTAGAGGGAAGAGAGTGCCATGGTGACGTCACGTTGACGTATCAATTAGGGAGCTAATACAACTAGTAGGGTGATAGTGATAGATGGCTCTAGTGTGTTACCACGCTTCGCTATAAAGCTAGCGAATCCTCATCGTTCGCAGGTGGTCTTGCATTTCTTTCGTGATTCGGAATGCCACAGGCATGGCTGGTCCATCAACAAATTGGCCGATTGGCCCGCACAAAACCCTCAATAGGGAACGGCAGCCTCCACCAGATGTTGAGAAGGTCTTGCGGCAGTATCTCACGTCTGAGGAGGAAGCACAGGTTCGTCGGCAATTTCAACAGGCTTGCCCCCGGCGTCGACAGGTCTTGTGGAGTGGGATGGACCAAAGCCAGGCACAAAGGTGGGCCGACGATCATCACATGCAGACGTTGACGACGGCAATGGGCCCATTGATGAACCCCAAGCATCCACAATGCCTTCAGCACCGTAAAACAAAAAAAGCATGGTCAAAGTATGTCCACGGAGCATCGGCCGCCTTCGCTTGGTATATTTCTGGTTGCGATGTGGTCACGGTGCTGTTGCATCCACCGCCGGTCAGATTCAACCCTTTCGGGGCAACCTTTTATCAGACGATTGAGGAACCTATTATCACAGGGAAGACTGGGGGTTGCAATGTGCGGCGGATTGAAGTAGTCCATCCGGCCGTACCCGAAGCTGCTGACTTCGCCTACCAAATGTGGCCAGTGGATGAGGCCGAGGTATGGAAGGAAAGGTTTGGGAGGCTGAGTGTGGCTAACACTCGCTGGAGGCAGATCAAGGCCTCACAGGTTGAGTCTTCCCGGGTGATCTTCCGCACTATACCGCTAATGGAAGGTACAGGTGAGCCATAACAACACTGTTCCTGGGGGTGCCTTACCGGGATGCAAAACACCTTTAGCGACAAAGAACTGTGGTGATAGCAAACCATTGAAAGATACGTCACGAGTGCTCGACGACACGAAGGGTAAGAAAGAGAGGAAGAAGAAGTGTATAAAAGTGAAAGAACAGGAGGGAAATGAGAGAACGGGAAGGAAGAAGGCGCGGACCAAGACGTGTGCTGTTGAAACCAACTTAAGAAAACTACCGAGACCAGGTAAGACTGGTACATTCAAGAGCCCGTCAATGAAGGTTGAAGATCAAGCAAAGGTAAAGCTGTCAGAAGGAGGCTCTCCGAGACTTAAGAAAAGAACGAAGGGGAACTTAGTACCACAAAGCCAAATATAGCGTCTGTCACGAACTCGGAAAAAGTGAATCAGACATTGCAGGAATTTGAGTGCGAATAGGCAGGAAGGGGTTAAGACAGTCAGACCTGATACAATTTGCTCGCGAGTAAGCAAATATCTATGTACAACCCTGAAGTACGATAGAGCCGGCAATTCCTTTCTTGCCGTCTCGTTCCAGAGAAGGCGACGGTCTGCCGATGTAGTTCATCCACGTAATCCACTCAGCGAAATTTCAACGGCACTCCTCGACAGCGGTGGCAGAGTGTACCAAAGCCTTTGCGGTGTAATCCTTCACCGCTATCTTACATAGATCGTATCAGACAACTCCACCACAGCTACAGATTTGGCGAAGCAGCGTGGTCTCCTCCCGCATCGCTCGACCGTCGCAGAAGAGCCGCAGCCCTAGATCCAATTGTTCCGACGTCACATGGCCGCACTTCAGCACCAATCCAGACACTGTAGAGAAGCTCAGAGGCGTGGATTGTTGACTTCATGAGGGAGGCTTCAAGTTACATGGGGCTTCTGGCACTTCAATCAAACTCAAATTTCGAGAGGGTATAGTCCCGTCGCCGGTGAACGAATCGGGATGCGAGATGAGAGAGCCATTGGTTACGGAGTGGGGAACGATGAAGGGCATTCTTTTTGGGATGTGGCCAAGCAATATTGGAGCTGTCAGAAGCCTGGAGTTGTCAGAAGCCGCCGTTGTATGGCAAGTAAAAACTGTACATTGACCAGTCGAAATGGGTGAAGGATATTTCAGACCTATAGAGAAACAAGCCAGTCCTATCTACCCGACGCATGGCTAGGGGGTTGCTTGGAAACAGATTCGCTTCGTTTCGCGGCGTTCCTTCCAGCTTTTCCATAATGAACCTCCCTTCCAACCACCGGACTCACAACTTCGCCGGACAGGTAGGGCAGTTGTGAGAGGATTGAGAGAACGCCAGCCACCGCTCTACCAGATGATGGCGATAGCAAAGTGTCTATTTCATCGGGCAATATAGTCAAGCCCTCGCCAGATAACCCTCAAAGGCAAGCTTGATACCCAACTTGTCCAGGGCTGGTTACTTTGAATACAGCTACAGTGCTATCTAGCGGTGACGTAAGATCTCCTCTGTTCTTAACCACCGGTCTCGATCAAACGTGTCTCGATGACGGTTTTTTTTTCTCATCTCAATCGCGTGATCCAATGGTATTAGCCCGAGACTGTCGCGGGAGCCTCTTGATAGACCCATGTCATTGTGAAGAAATTCCAAGGCGTCCTCGGTAAGAGAACCTGCCATCGCTGCGCGGTGCAAAACCGTGCGGCCTGCGGCATCTTTCATGTGGAGATCCACGCCAGAGCTCGCCAAAACGGAGAGGAGTTCTCCATCAAGTCGATAGGATTTGGCAGATAGATGGCCCAGTGTAAAACCTGCCTTAGGACTGGTGAACGAAGCGTCAGCGCCTCGTTCAAAGAGAAGTCGCACTACTTGCGCCTTTTCTAATGGGAAGGAGGATTTGGCTAGGTATACCGCTAGCGGCGAGTAACCACGGTCATCAAGGTCGTTGATGCCGACGCTGCTCGACAAGAGAGACCGAACGGCGTCTATGCTAACGCCATCGTGCCTACCAAGTAGGTGATGTAGTGCATTTCGATCATGCTTATCTCTCGCAGTCGCAAGTATCATGGAATTTCCGTCCGTGACAAAGTCAAGCAGAACTTGGATGGTTTCCCCGTCTCCACTCCGTGCTGCGCAGTGGAGCGTGTTGAGTCCGCCTTCGTCCAGGTCCATTACACTTGCGCCATGTCTAATTAGAGCCGTAATAGACTTCACATCTCTCGCCAAACAGGCCAGATTGTCAGGACCTGAGGGAGGTATGAGACCAACAGGGGATCGCCTGTTGTTTGATCGTAGGAATCAAGAAGAGAGGACCGAGCGCAGTGAGGGAATAGTTATAAGAAAGGTAAACGGACTAAGATTTAGAGAAGGGTATCGATTATTCTATCTTCCTAGAGACCCCCAAGAGACCAACAGTTGACCCCTTCACTCGTTGCACAAGACTCCTTGACACAGATGCAGTGGCGTCCGACCCTTCGAATCACGTTCGGATTTTTTGATATTTTTCTCAAGCAGCCTCTCGAGGATAGATTGAGACCGCCAATTCCCATAAGGAATGCAGTGCAGGAGAGACGCGCCATGTGTATCTCTGGTATTTACGTCGATTTCCGGGTGGTTGAGGAGAGCATCGATAATGTCGACCCTATGCTTGTTGATCATACCCATTATCTTGGAGTATTCTTCCTCGTCATCAGTGCCATGATCTATCAAATCAAGCAAAACTTCGATTCTAAAGTCTGGACTATTCTAACGGTCTCGTTTGCCAAAGGGCCGCTTCCAATCGTAGATGTCTTGCCTAACTGCGAGATGCAGAGGCGTTTCGCCGCACTCGGAGACCGCATTTGGGTTGGCACCGTGGTCGAGGAAATATCTTGTCATCTGAGCACTCCCTGTCAAGGCCGCATAGTGCAAAGCTGTGAGCCCTTGCGGAGCGTTGAACCCACCCTGGGAGCAATGTAGATTGCTATTTGGTGCATAGGTGAGCTTGCCATCTTGGCATGTCGCCAGCCAGATCCTCCTTTTCACTAGACTGTCGACTGATACTCCAGCATCGAGGAAGACCTGCGCAATTTCTTCGTTTGCTTTTGCGACAGTGTAGTGAATGGGGGTCATGTTGTTGATGTCCGTGGTCATATTTGACAGTTGGGTCGCTTCATAGCTTAGGAGGAGCTGAACACATCTTGTCCAGCCGTGAATAACAGCATGATGCAATGGGGTCTCCCAATCGGCGTCGCGGATATTCGTGTCGACGCGTCGTTCTAACAGCCATTCTGCGATGAGCTCTTGCTGGTTCTTCACCGCCCAGAGCAGACAACTACTTGGAACCTTTGACCCAGATGACAAAAAAGTAGAAATAAGCGGATGTACGTCAGGTGAGGCGGAGCGAGCGTGGAGGACCCAATTTTGTGCGACGTATTCGAAGAACGGATCCAACAGCTGCTGGTCTCGTATGTCTTGCCCTGTCAGACAGAATCCGTTCCTAAAGTTGTCAAATGAAAGATAGGTAAGGCAGACTTTAGCGATGTCGGTCTCCACATTTGGAAAAATCCGCTGGAAGTACTCTTGCGCTGTGCGATGAACTAATCGGATGATGCTGCTCTCTTCGTCGGTTTCAACCAATCCAACACAAACGGAGACCACGTCCTCGACCGATGGGATACCCTCTTCTTCAAGTTCAGAGTCACCCTCTTGTATAGCCAGTGCATGTTGGATTTCCGACGTTGTGAGTTGTCTTTTTGCACACGTGATCCATGAGAGAACCTTCTTCGCCAGGTCCTGCGACTCGGTATCAGATTCGGTGATCCGCATCCAAGCTTCTTTGTAAACATGATTGTACGCCTCTGGTCCCGTCAGGAGACTTTTTAATGCGTCTTTTATACTCCGAGTTGTTCTCTTTTTGCTGACGGATTCGAAATGAAGCTGCGCCAGGAGGAACCTAGCAAATTCAATCATGCGGCTTGTTAGGAGAGTACTGAAACGCTTACATTCATTCCATCAGAAACCTCCGTGATCTCATTCCTAATCTCCTCACGGCATTTTTCTAGCAATGTCCGTCCGGATTGCAGTATTTCGGGCCGTCTAGATACCTGCGCACATCCTCGTCATTTGGCACGAATTTCCCAATATTGTGCTGGCACTGAATCTGTCAGTATTTTCTGGGATACACCTGGAAGTTGCGAAATGTTTGCTCCGCATTCGGCCTGGAGATTGAAAAGCTCGTTAAGAATCTCGCGCGACAGCCGTCGTTCGTTGGCTTCGTCAGGTGCATCAACGATGATGCATGTTCTCGAGTAGGATCCGCACATGCGGAGGGTTCCTCGAGACTTCA